CTTATCTTTTTTTTCTTATTTTTTTCTTATTTTTTTTATATATTATATTTATTATACATCTATACTATAATATTCATCACATAAGATTTGAGGCTTTACATTATAAGATAATAATAAACATGCAGAAAATTGAAATCTGTGTTAATATTTTATTTCTTTGAAAATGGACAAGATAACTATTTAATAGCTTTTAGCTGATGAAAAACTTCCTTAGTTTTCTTTTCTTTATTTTTTTGATCTCCATCATCTTTTGAAAAGTTTTCATTATTGCTCTCGCTATCATTTTCAGAAGTACTGTCTGATGAATTTTCGAATTTTCTTATTTACTAGTATTGCTGCAATGTTGAAAATATATCAATATTAGTAAATTCTATGTATATAAAAAATATGTGTATATAATAAATGTACGTATAATTATTGTTATATGAAACTGTGACTTAAGTGCATGCTGTAAGTGCATATCTGTAACAAAAATATGATATAATACATAAAACATATACTCATTTTTCTATACGTGACCAACCATGATCCCGCTTTTTCCGCTTTTCTACCAAACGTCGTCTCATTTATTGGAAATTTCATAGTGACAGCTTCTGTCATATAAGAAAATTTCATATAAGTCTATCATATAAGAATATCTCATATAAGAGAACATATAATTTTCTTAAAATTAGAGGATAACAAGTTAAATAAGGATTCAAATTTATTTACATACAATAATATACACTGAAAAAAATTTTCTTACATCTTAATAAATATTTCCTTGAATATTTCTCAAGTAAATTTTTATTAAATATAAACATGTATTTATTATATTTAATATTATGTAGTTCACATTATATTTAATATATACATATAATCGTTTCAAAACAAAATTAGTTTAATTTATGTAAATATTAGGTGTAATAAAAAGAAATCCATTATTTTTGCATGAAATTGAATGGAAAAATAATGGATTTCTTTTTACTACACCTAATATAATAAAAGACTAACCTAGAAACATGAAATTATCTCATATAAT